CCTCTTAATTCATTAAACATTCATTACAAATAACTAAAGACACTATCAATTTTTCCTAGTTTTTGAGAAGTTAGTAGTCATTTCTAGTAAGAGAATGGTTTTCCGTATTAACAATACTTGTCCCGGAAACGACTCCCGTATTAAAGATCAAATAACTTCATTTGCTACTATATCAACCTAGTTTGCCTTAAGACGGATATTATGAAGATATATAAAATATGATTTAAATCCGGTTAGTACTAATATACCATTTATCACAATCTTTTTAAACTGTCCCAAGTTCTGTATGGAATTGTAATTATACTATGTTATTAAGTAAATCACTACTTAAAATAGAGATGACGCTGCTTATAAGTCTCCATTAGCTTAGGTGGAGTGTCTCCAATTATAATGGTGGTTCGCTTGGTTGGGGGAAGGGGAACATATAACCTCTCTGATAGGCCGCCATATGTTGAAGGTGATGCGTGTTTTATTCTTCATCCACTTTATTTACTGACAACTTAAGGTTGTTTCCATTATTTACGCATAGTGTAAGGGGTAAATGTCTTAAATGTGAAATTCGCGTTTGATTGTTTTTTTTGTTAGCTCTTGTTAAATGTAGTAACATTTTTTTCATTTTGGAACGAAATTCCTTATCACAGGTTGCAGCGGCAGGAAGCTGACAAGCAAAAGGCCTACGTGAAACGAAAGCCTTATTAAACCCGTTTCTCACCCTTTAAACTCACTGCTTGCATAGACATTTGTCGAATAGCACAAGTTATTCAAAACATATGCTTGGATGGAACAGAAAATAATATAAACAGAGTATCATACAAAAAGCTCTATTTTATTCACACTTACATTAGTACAATATTAAGTAACTGCATTCACAGAACAAAAAAATTTCTGTACATAAAAATATTTTGTTATAAATTTATAAGAAAAATAAATTTTCTACTTAGGCGTTTGGTTTTCATACATTTTAATATAAAGAAGAACTTCTTCGAAACATGATGGGCCTCTTGGGTAACGTAGCGGAAGTAAAAGATCTACGTTACTATTTGATGACTCCAGAATATGTTTCGGTGTTTTCTGACCTCTTAGATTCATATAGCGACGGAATTGAGGTGAGTTATAACGCAGCAGGAGTGCTTTCGCATATGGCTTCTGATGGACCCGAGGTTTGGACTATTACATATCCAACTCGTGAAATGGTACTTCGACGTATGGTAGTGGCTATTGAAAGGTGGGATCTCGGTTCCCAACGAAATATCAACTACAGGTCTTTTGAACCCATCTTACACTTGGTGAAAGTTTATGATACGCCTGAATGTCAACACTGGGCTGTTTGGGCTTTGGCCAACCTCACTAAAGTGTATCGTAAGTAAAACATAAGAAAAGCAGTGAAGGGGAATGTGATGTATTTTTTTGTATTTGCGTCTATTTAATGTGACTTTTCATTTTTTTTATATATTTTAATAGCAAGAATTATTTTCATATTAATTCCTTAGCAGTATTTGTAATACTTTCACTCTTTAAATTATAAAGAAATAGTATATTACCTACCAAGGGAAAGAAGTGGGCTATCACAGACAAGTGATTGCCCAATTCACACATGGTCTGTAATAGCCCACTTACTTCCCGAAGTGCGTATACTATTTCTTGTCACATTTGTGCAGAAAGTTCGTCACTTCAGCTATTTATTTATTTGATTAAGGATCCATGTTAGTTGACAATTGTCAAACCAATCAGCCGTTAGAGTACAATGCTGCCACTTTAATTTTT